GATTAGTCTCGGGGGCAGCTCTTATGCCAGTAGTCTGTCATCATTTGGTGGCCGAAAGTCGTCCAAAACATACAAATCCTAAACGAGTGAACGAATGGTGTATTTTTTAATTGTAATTGAATTAATAATTCATTCAGTTTTCATAATTAATACAATTTATTCAAAACGAGAATCTCTTGAAAAATGAAAAATCAAACGAAACACACTTTTATAGCAATGAATTGAATGTATAATTAATTCTGAATCTTGTATTCAATTAATAAATTATAAACAAATAAAATTGCTTTTCATGCCATAAATCAATGAATACTTTTATTTACAATAAATTCAATAACAAATTAGTTAAATGAATATAATTTTTATATAACTTATAGATTATTGATAATTATATTTTATGACATAATTAGATAAAGTTAACATTATAAAATTTTCAGTATTCTGTGTACTAACCATGTAAACATAGTACGAATATATTAAATCAATATTAATGTATATAAAATAGATTTTAATAAAATGCAAAACACTTTAAATCTAGATCTAAATCTGTTTTGGAAAAAACACTTGAATTACAAATGCACTTAAATCCAGAATTGAATACTTTTGAAATATTTTCTTGCAGTAATATAACATAACAATCACTTCAAACATATAAAAACATATTTTCAATAATATTTTCAAACATATATTCGTAAACAGATTTAGCGTTAATACTATTTATTTATATTTACTAAATTCATAGTGAATTATCGATCAAATAAGACAATATCTAAACAAATGAAATCGTTAATAATTAGTTTACTAATCATATCAGTAATTGAATGGACGGGTATTTATTAAAATTATATAAATGTAATCAATACTGGAATTTAATGCGGAAAACTATATTCAGATACATATCCGGTAGCGGAACCAGCGGTGGTCTGTCCCGAACCTAATGGTGTGGTTCGTAACCCATATGACTGCCACACATACTATCAGTGCCGTAACAATTGGCCACAATTGCAGAGCTGTCCCAATGGCCTGTTGTTTGATTCAATATTTGAGTGGTGCGATGAGGCCCGGTATGTGACCTGTTAACCACAATCTACCT